GAGCCGTAAAGCAAGAAGAAGAAGAAGACGCCTCACTTTAAGCCTTCTTTTGTTCCGCAGACTTTTTCCTCTTTGTTTTTTATCCGCCATCTCTATCTTTTTGTCGTTCGGCTCGCTAATGTCCGTCCTGTGCACTGAAAGCTCTCTCCTCCACATCATGAGTAGACACGCCCCTTATTGCTGATTGGCTACAAGTTTGTTTTGCTAGTCGGCCCGAATCAGTTTTCTAAAGCGTTTTTGAAAAATCGCTTACCCCACCTTTAAATTCTCAGTTTGGTTCTCATTACTGAAATACAATAATTTTTCAAATTAAATCACCATAAATTAAAAGAAATACACCAAACTCTGGCATGATGTATAAATACGTCACAATGTTTTTGCATTATAGTAATGAAATTTGTGCATAAATGTCATGAAAATAATGTCACAATGCAAAAAAAAATGGCTTTATTTTTTTTTATACAAAATGTACTTTTTTTCTCTTGATTTGGTGTGACATATAACCCTGGCATGTTCTTGACAGGTTTCCTGAGATTCACCCTGACAGATGAGACATGAGGGGTCTTGTAAGGACAGACAGATATGAACAGAGAGAGAGAAAATCGAGGGAATAACGCATGTAGGAGCAAGAAAGGGACATTAAGAGAGAGTGATCTGCTTCCCTGCGGCTGAGTGTCTTTATCCACAATCTGTCAAAGAGCATCTGTCAGTGTTAGTGGGTCACTCGTTTCCTTGTTTTTTCTCTTCTCTTTCCTCTCTTATTTCTGTTCTAGATGGAAACCACTTTCGTGCTGTCCTTTCTATCTTCTCTACCTCATTTAACAAATGATCCAATAATAAAACGTGGAACTCATTAGTGAGAATTAGGACTAGGTGATTTGAAACAAAGGAGAGAGAGAGATATAATGAAAAGCAGAGGAGAGTGGCATAAATGAAATAGAGTAACAGAGAGGCATGAGTGAAAAGTGGAAGACTAGAGGGCAAGAGTCAGCTTCCTGAAGTAAAATCCCATTCATTTTCTTCACAGAGAAATTGATTTTAAAGGGGTCATTGGATGCTCATTTTCCACAAGTTGATATGATTCTTTAGGGTCTTAATGAAAAGTCTGTAACATAGTTTGGTTAAAATTTCTCAATGGTAGTGTAAAAAACACCTTTTGTACCCTGTCAAAAACAGCTCTTTTCAGCTCAAGCCGTTTTGTAGCATTTTCCTTTAAATGTTAATGAGCACTGCTGACCCCGCCCCCCTCTTCCGAGCTGCTCTCTGAGGGACTGTTTACTTTAGCTGCATTCATCGTGAAACTTGCTAGTTAGCACATTATTAGGAAAGGCGATTTGCAAAGATTCATTAAAAAATATACCTTATACTCACTTCTTCTGTAGGTGAAGCTGGATCACGAATGATTCGCGCGAACATAGACATATTTAGGGAAATCGGGGGCGCATTCCCTTCAAAAACAAACGTAATCCACTGCATCTTCAGTGGCTCAGATGTCGACTGCTATGTTCATTATTACATCCAACAACAGAACACCTCAATCGCTTAAGAGTCATTCTTGTCTACATCTGCTCCAGCGGTGAAACAATAGCGGACTGATGACAGCTCACTCAGGGCGGGTCCAAGGTAAGATGCCAGTCCAGTCTGTGCTGAAATCCTACTGTAAATAAAACTATCGTGGGAGGGGCCTGTCTTTGTGACGTCACACAGACAGGCATCTGAGATCGTCTCGATTTGAGAAAGGGGTAAAGTTTTTAGTAGATAAAAAAAAAAACACAGCGTGGATTTTTATCGTTATAGGGTGGTTGTGTACACACACTGCCAACACACATTTCAGTTCAAACAACTTGTAAAAGTGCATGTCGCATCCGATGACCCCTTTAACAATGGGGTGTTTCCTTAACGTCAGGCACATTTATTATGGTAATTTTTTTTATTAGAAATTAACAAATTATATCTACTTTTTCTTAATTATTTATGGAGGCTACAAAAACACTTGAACTTTTTCATAATTTACTTCAGCTTCTTTTTAAGTGACTTGGGTGAACAAAGGACAAAGGATTTTGTAATTTAATTCAAAAACTAAAACAAAAAAAAAATGTAATTTCCACCACAATGCAATTGGATGGTGATTTTAGATTTTAGTGGGAATGACAGTGTAAGTGTAAGTTTATTGCATATTTACCCACTGTTAGACATTGTTAGTAGGCAAATGCTGATATACAGGTGCATCTCAATAAATTAGAATGTCGTGGAAAAGTTCATTTCTTTCAGTAATTCAACTCAAATTGTGAAACTCGTGTATTAAATAAATTCAATGCACACAGACTGAAGTAGTTTAAGTCTTTGGTTCTTTTAATTGTGATGATTTTGGCTCACATTTAACAAAAACCCACCAATTCACTATCTCAACAAATTAGAATATGGTGACATGCCAATCAGCTAATCAACTCAAAACACCTGCAAAGGTTTCCTGAGCCTTCAAAATGGTCTCTCAGTTTGGTTCACTAGGCTACACAATCATGGGGAAGACTTTCACAATTTGAGTTGAATTACTGAAATAAATAAACTTTTCCATGACATTCTAGAAGACAAATCAGTGTGATTTCAGCATTTTAATGGAGAATTTAAAGGGAAGGTGAAAGGATCTTAGAGGTATAAAGAAAGGCTGAAAAGTTCATGGACTGTAGCTGTGGATTCAAAATGTTTCTCATTCCTTTTTTGGCGGTTTTGTGTTTCTCTGGTTTATTTTTCAAAAATTTTTCGTCCAGAAAGATGTAAACAAATAGAACTCGTTGCTTACAAAAGCAGTCAGAGGGTGACAGGAGAGAACCATGTGTCTGTTCTTGTTTTTCAGTACTCTGTTTCAGCTGTCAGCCGCATGGGCCGCAGTGGGGTCAGATGGTAGAACATCACTCAGAACACACTCTCTTTTGATACGGCCACACAAAAAATGTACTAAAAATTGCTCTTTAGCATCCGCATAGCAATGCTCTGCATCTTACAGTAATATCGTGGTGATGTGTTTTGCACAAGGAAGCACTTTTTTCACAAAATGTAAAAAATCTACCCTAGCGACAAAGTGTGCTTAACTGTAAATTAAGGCCACTTAAGTCTAAGAGAGGTACTTTCATGGCTATGCTTCTTGTTGTTTTTAAAAAGTGCACTTTGTAACAATGTCAAATTAAAAGTTTTACTTTGAAGTACATTTTAAAGCATGATTTTTTTTAATCTTTAGTCATGCTTTAAAAAGTATTTCTTTTGATGAGTTGACTTACGAAGCATATGTAAATACTTGATTTAAATTAACTATGTTATTCGATATTACAATATTGTTTGTATATTTTAAATGTACTAAATTGCAACTTCATCATTATAAATGTTTAATTACAAATATATTACCTGACATACAAGTTTATCTTTATTCTGCTTTTACTCATTTTGATTTTTTCCTCCAGCAAAACAGCTGAATCCATTGGGATTGCTTTCATAAATTCAAAATGAAAGATTTAAGATCAGAACAATGAGATATGTTTCTGAATATTATAAGCAAACACTGTCCAGGCCCTTTCTTGTTTGGTCCAAACCAGTTCAGGTTCGATTCCACCACCCTCTCTTCGAGTCCAAACATTTGCATCAGACTCCTTTTCTTTTTTGTTTTGCTGTTAGCTGTGCATTATTTATGATGGGTTAAAACTAAAAGCCTCTGATATTTTCTGCTTTCTGTGTGGATTTTTTTTCTTGGAGAAGTAAGGTAATCCATTCCTAATAGTCACTGGAATGTTTAATCCTTCAAACATGGAGAGAGATCAGCGTTAAATATTGAACCAGTGTCCTTAGAATCCAGACATACTGTGCAGACACTAAACTACCTTTGAACCATGAAAAACATGCAGTGTGTTTGACATCTATTGTAACTGGCCAGTGCTCTAAATACAGAGATGATGGACTTTCATCTGTGTCTCTTTGCAGAATTATCTGGGTGAACAAAGAACGTCTGTTTGGGTGCATGCATGTGTAAAATATACTGTTTGTGTTTGGGGTGGGCGATATGGCAAAAATATATAGCAGTTTCTTCAGGAAGGATCACAATCTTATCAAAATGTTGTTTTTTAAGACTATTTTGCAAGTTACTGAGCAGTAAAATTAAAGTTCTCAAGTAAACAACAAAGAAACAAATGACAAGCAATAAAACAAATTAATACTACAGAACAAAGATACAAATGAAGTAAACAGTGCTTTGTACCGTTTACTTCATTTACAGCTACTGTATGAATGAAATATAAAGCTACAAATGTGATTCAGTCAAGAGCAGATTTTCTCTTTGTCTTTTATTGTTTGATTAACATTAATGACACGGGCATTATTAGGCTGCTGTCACTTTAAGATGGATCTAATATCTCATATAACTGTAAGGCATAAGCGAATGTATTTACAGGAATACTTGCCAAGGCGGGCACAAACGGGACACAATCTCTACGATACGTTTGAAAGGTAGATCGTGGACGTCTTCAAGATCGATACAAAATTGTTGGAGGAAATTGTTGGTGTTTTTCCACATTCATCACATGAGAAAACTTCGTTCACACAAATAAATCTCAAACCTGGTTATTTTGTCAATGATATTATTAGTGGTGCTGACTTAGGTTTCTGTTGTCATGCTTATGGTTAGGGATTTGCATAGTTTGTGCCACTTGTTGAAAAGAGGTGTGTTGTTGCTTTTCTAACGGATTAAACAGGCAAAAAATCCCACAGACTGAGCTGATGAGACTTGATGCCAGTACAAAACACCTAGCAACTATATAGCAATGCGCTAAAATTCTCCGAACGACCTACAGTAGCAACAGAATAGCAACTATAGATATGTATATACTTATCTATGATAGCAATGTTCTAACCTCCCAGAACACCACAGCATCGTGGTAGTGAGTTTGGCAAATGGAAAATCAGGATAATGTATTTCATCATTTATTGATCAAATCTTTTTCTCTTTCTTTGTCCAGCATGGGTTGGTGCTCTGGCGATGGGGATGATATTTTTCTGCTCTCCGGTGGTCAGTATGTTCACCGATCACTTCGGATGCCGGAAGACAGCCGTCTGCGGAGCATTTGTGGCCTTCCTCGGTCTTCTCACCAGTTCATTCGCAACGTAAATGCCTTCTTTTTTTCTTACTTTTTCTTTTGTAACATTTGTATATTGTTTTTTTTTTTCGTGTTACTTTAGCATTTTCACAGTCCATTCGGAAATTATATGCAAAAAAAAAATATATATAAATAAATAAATATATAAAAGCTGAAATAACCTATGATTTTTTTATATTTATTTTTGTATGTTTTTTGTCATGCACATTTTTCCAAAAACAATAATTTAATGTAAAATATTTATTATTTTGATTCATTCCATACATTTTTAACAGAACTGACAAATAACTATACACACAGAACAAAATGAAATCAGTCAAATAATGTGACTGTTCTTGGTAATGTGACACACAATGACATCATTTCCTGAAATTGACCCTGCATTGGAATTTTAGATTTACTTTAATTCTTTCAGCCTTACCAAAACACATTTATTTTATCCAGAATGCTCATCCAGCACCGTCACTGTTTAAGTTCACTTAAAGACATAACAGACTGTTTTCGAGGATATTCGCCAAGACGGATATTTTGACATACTTTTGTATGTATTTGTTTGTTCAAGTGCAAGACGCAGAAAGAAAATCTGGGGCTCATGCGATGCCTGAGACGCAGCTCTGTGAATGTACGCTGTACTCACAGAACACGCTGAATCAATTGTTATTTGCATCTTCTTGAGCTTGAATGTTTTTAAATTGCTTGAATGTTCAAATTGGCCAGGTGTATTTGTCTGTTAAAGCACAAGTAGTCGCAAAAGAGAACTCAATTCGGTGTTGTCTGCGACTCTGTGTGCGAGTTGTACACAGAACATTGCTGAGTACTGAATGGAGTTGTCAACTTTCGTGTCATCTTGCGCTTGAATGCTTTAAAATCACTTAAATGTTTAAATTATCAAGGCTTAAAAACACATGCAAATGATAAACTTTCGTGAAGACGCAGCAGTGGCCTGATCAGACCAGTGACAAATCCGTCAGTTTTCCCGAACATCTTTCACGCTGGCCCCGGGCCATCGAGCAGTCCTTATTGTCGAGCCCTGTTACAGCATCTGTCCTTGAACTGCTCAATAATGCAGATGTTTCTAAACTTAATTTGAGTTAAAGGGGTCATATGATGTTGCTAAAAAGAACATTATTTAGTGTATTTGGTGTAATGCAATGTGTTTAAAGGAAAAATTGAAATCGCATCATATGACCCCTTTAACTTGTACATGACATACACAGCTGCAGCACATATAGTTCAGTCTTTGTAGTCTATATATTTGTGGGAATCTGTTTCCCTTTACTTTGAAGTGTCTTTGTTATCTGCTTGCATGCATAAAGTGTAAACTTTCACTTGCCCCAGATGTACAGTATGAGCACCACAGTGTGCTGAACATTTTGCACATTTGCTAAGTCTCAGAAAGTAAAAAAAATGAAGATACATACATTAAAAAATTATTAAGTTCCTAACTGTTGAATATACAGAATATACCATAAATATACACACAGAACTAAATAAAATCAATCAAATTTTTCCCAAAACAGTATTTTTTCTATATGTATTAATTATTTTTTCTATTTTATATAACTATTGTTATGATTTTTTCTTGTGCATTTATTGAAGAAAAAAAACAATATTTTTCTGTTAAATATTATTATTTTTTCTTGTGCCTTTTTCCAAGAACAAAATTTTTCTGCAAAACAATTCTTTGTTTCTCTTTTACGTGTGTAAGATGTGAATCAATAATATCTCCTGTCACTCATTTTGTGCGTTCATGTCTTTGAAAGTTGGGTTTTGTAGAGATGTTGTGGTTGAAGTGATGGAGGCGGACAAATCACTCAGCCTCCTTAAGTGTGCTTATATAAAAGGTTACTTAATCACGCTGACAGTCTTTTAAACAAAAGGAAAAAACATAAACACGTAGGAGAGCAGGACCTGTACGACAGAACATTTATGTAATCTTTGCTTTCTTTCTCTTCCCTCCTTTCCTTCATTCTTTTCCTTCTCATTGTTTTCTCACAGTGCCTTCTCTCTGAGATCCTTGTGCAGTTGGAAAGAGTGCTGATTTTATTCCAAGCTAAAAAAAAAAAAGCTCTTGCTGTTGTTAGAAAAGGTTGGAACAAACGGTCACCCTGGTCCTGCTGCGTTTAGAACACTCAACAAACACTAACAAGTGCATGCAAACACACACACACACACACACACACACACACACACAAACAAACAAACTATTTCCCTCCCTTCCTCAGGCTTTGAACACAAGTGTCTCCTGCAGGGTCGAGCTTCTCTCTTCCATCTCACAATCCATCATTTACACTAACGTCTGTTTGGTCATTAAGCAAATAATGTGTCCTGCTGGCCGTGTGTTGCACATTCTCTGGCTTCAGGTGTCACAGGTCATTTGGAAGTGAAATGCTTTTAATTTAATACGGAGAGAAAAACATGAAAGTTCAACAGTTCTGCTGTAAAAATCAATCCTGCACCTTGTATGACTTTATTTCTTGTGCATCCATCTTGCAGAAGTTGCTTATGGACACTTGAGAAAAACATTACTTTCAAAAAGAGTGCTTTTTATGGAAATAATATACTTTAAAAGAATATACTTAAGCGCAAATTGAATGTAATGTTTTCATACACTTCAATTAATAGCAATTAAATGAAAATGTATTTAGTTTAAATTTAAATGAAATATGAGTTTTATAGTGCTTTCTTTGACTAACTTAAGTAGGACTTGTTTTAAGTACACTTAAATGGCCTTTTTTCTATTAATGTTATATTATCTGCACATACAGATTTTTAATAATCTACTTTCAAGTACACTGCAGGCTTATTGTTGTTCACTAAAAACTAAAGCTAAAACCATTCAAATATATATTTTTGTTGATTGAAATAAGATAAATATTGACTGAAATAAAATAAAATATACATAAAAAACCTTAAACATTTTATTTATCTAGTTGTCAAAGCAACTTTTTTCTTTTTTTTTTTCTTTTTCGTTAAGTAAAAAAAAAAAACTAAAATAGAACTAAAAAGTAAATAAACTAGATCTAAAACCTAATAAAAACTATACAGATATATTTTAAAGAAAAAACAAACTAATGAAAATGCCAAAACACAACAATAAACTTAAACTAAAACTTTAAAAAACTATACTGACATATTTAAAAAATAACTGACTAGTAGAAATGACAAAACAATACACTTAAACTTAAAGGGGGCGTAACACACACACACAGTTTCTGCCAATGTCATGTTAATCTTGAGTACCTATAGAGTAGTATTGTTTCCTTCATACCTCCAAAGAGTCTTTAGTTTTATCAGATTTATAAGAGACAGATACAGCTTTATGCTTCTCTCTGAAAACAGTCTGGTTGCTGTGTGCGCACACTGTTCTGGAAGAAGAGCACATAAAAGGAAATCCGCCCTATATGACGTCATGAAGGGCCATACTCGAAAAAAACTTTTATGAAAATTATACGAACTCTGAAGGAGTGTCTTCGACACAGACATATGTCCAACTCGTTTTTTGAGACTTTGGTCATGTTTAGCATGAGAATCAAACTCTTTAGCAGTGTAAATAAGTCAGAATGCATGAAATAGAATTAGCCCCCCCCCCCTTTAATAAAAAACTATATAGATATATAACCCCCTACTCCCACAAAACTAATAAAAATGTCAAAAATGCCAAACAAAATTAACAAACTTAGAAGGAAAACTAAAAATAAAATTAATTTAAAATATGAACAAAAGCTATAATAATATTATAATAGTAATATAATAATAACTAGGGATGTAATGATTCACGATTTTGATTTTACGATTCGATTCACAATTTTTTTTAATTTTTTTTTTACAAAATGAGATTTAAGACAAATTCTAAACAAAATCTGTCCTTTTATTATTGCTTGAACAAAATGCTGCACGTTTCTTTGTGAAATTGAAATATAACACTATAATATGGTCTGACTTCAGTTTTGTGAAACTATACATAAAAACAGCAGACGAGCTGAATGAGACGCAGATTCACTCTCTGCCAGCAGGTGGCGCTTAAAGCGTTTCCTTGGTTTCCGCTGTAAACAAAGCAGCGCTGCACTTATGAACTTTAATATGCATTATACAGAGGCAAGATGAAAAGAAAAAATACCATCTAAACTTTTCTAAAGACAGTAAGTTCCCCTCAGACATGCATTCATATAAACTCCTACACCTAATTGAATCGCGATTTGTTTGGCATCTCAACCAATTTGAATCGTCACATATTTGAATCGATTTTCAACCGGCTTGCGGTTAATCGTTACATCCCTAATAATAACATATTGATATAGTATAATAATATAACTACAATAGTATGATACTAAAATTGCACCTTCCATCAACCTTTCATCAGCATTGTTCTTTTATCCATTTTCCTTTTATCACATTCACATCCTGTCTTCTCTCCTCAGCACACTGGGTCTTCGATACTTCACATACGGGATACTGTTCGGCTGCGGATCCTCATTCGCATTCCAGCCGTCTCTGGTGATCCTGGGGCATTATTTTCGACAGAGACTGGGTTTGGCCAACGGCGTGGTGACGGCAGGCAGCAGCCTCTTTTCTATGGGGCTCCCTGTGCTGCTCAAGAAAGTGGTTGGACCGCTGGGCCTTCCCAGAACCTTCCAGATCCTCAGTATCTTCATGCTGGTCCAGTCGCTGCTGGCCCTCACCTTCAAACCGCTCATGCCCAGTGGGATGTGCGCACACTACTCAAGTTGAGTTTTATTTTTTATGCCAGATTCTGAGCATAATTAATATCTCGCTTTCCAGACATTTGGCACAAAGCCCTGGTGTGCTGTAAGCCGAGTTCCACCATTAAATCATAATTACAGATCTTATGCACACAGGCCTATAGATTCCATAGATTTACATGTAGAAATTTTCAGAATAATACAAGTGCAGTTGACTGAAGTGATGATTGATATCATGATATTTAAATTAGTACAATCTAATAAATAAGATATTCTCGAGCCGTATAATGGTTCAGATTCAGATGTGATCAATGATTAATTGTTACCAGTCTGTCATTTTGCAAAACTTCCACTGTGACCCAAATTCTTTTTCCAAACATTTAATTACATTTGAGGTCATGATTTGAAATCATACTGACCTCAGGATACTCATTCTGCATCATGTAGGAGTTTATTCCTCTTGACACTCCTGTCCTTTCTTTCACCCTAAAAACTTGACGGGACATTTTTAAACTAGAGTCATCAAACTGGGTAGAGCCAACTAATATCAGACCGTACAAAACAAAAGGCAGAATGTTTTCACTACTCTTTTTCTTACAATGAAAATGATGCGGACGGATGCTGTTGAGCTTTAAAAATCACAGTAAAATGTAGTCAAACTCGATTGAGGTTGTTGAGAGTTGCATGAATGAATTCAACACAACAGGGTTCATCACCATTAAAGGAGCAGTTACCCAAAAATTAAAAGTGCTAAAAAGTGTACTCTCCCTCAGGCCATCCAAGATGTAGATGAGTTTGTTTGTTAATGGGAACAGATTTGGAGAAATGTAGCATCACATCACTTGCTCACCAATGGATCCTCTGCAGTGAATGGGTGCCGTCAGAAATGAGAGTCCAAACAGCTGATAAAAACATCACAATAATCCACAAATAATCCACAGCACTCCAGTCCATCAATTAAGATCTCGTGAAGTGAAAAGCTGCTTGTTTGTAAGAAACAAATCCATTATTAAGACGTTTTTAATTTCAAACCATCGCTTCCAGCTAAAATACGAGTCCTCTGTCTATAATATTGCTTTCTCCAGTGAAAATGTAATCTCGTCTGAATCAGGAGAGAAATATGCACAGATCAAGCACTGTTTACAAGCCAAAAACAGTTCTAAACAAGCATGTTGGTGGATTTTGATGTGAGAGACAACGGGATGGAATTTTTCCCTGGAGGACGCGTTATTATGGACTCATATCCATAATAGCAACAGCTTAACGTAAAAATGCCTTACAAACACAAAGATTTTTGCTTCACAAGACATGTTACATTTCTCCAAATCTGTTCCCATGAAGAAACAAAAAAAGTCAATTTTCAACAAATTGTCATTTTTGGGTGAGCTATTCTTTTAAACTTAAATTTATTTTAATCTGTTTAGCTGCCAAGGCAAACGTTGGAATTTGGAATGTTTCAGCCTTTTTTTAAGTTTAAGATTTACATCTAATATTAATATTCTATTTTATTTAAGCTTTATTTTAGCTAACAAAAATTATTTTTAGTTCGTTTTAGTTAACTATAAGAACACTATAAGCAATAAAATTACTAAAACTGAAATAAAAAAATGAAAGTTTAATTACTTAGCTAAATAGAAGTATTAAAAAACGACAAATGCACACAACAATATCACTAAAACTTGAACTGAAATTAAATTGAAAATATAAAATAATTAATTTAATTAATATGCATGTTTATATATCCCTGCTTAAGTGGTGGGGACTAAAATCGACAAAAATGACAAATGCACACAACAATATCACTAAAACTTAAACGGAAATTAAATTGAAAATATAAAAATAATTAATTTCATTAATATGCATGTTTATATATCCCTGCTTAAGTGGTGGGGACTAAAATCAACATGGGAAAAAATGTGGAGGCATATTTATCATTTTTGAATGCTAATTTAAATGAACTAAAAGCTTAAAAGCTCATTTGAAATATTATTAAATACTATCATAGTATATACAGTAAATAATACTAGAATAACCCTGTTGTTTAGAAAAACATTCTGCCTCACATCTTATTTTGTGTTTGTGCCATATTGGTTTATAAGATGACTAATTAATGTCAATTTTTATTTTGGTGTGAACTAAGTCTTCAGATTTAGCACATAATTTATGAAACATGAAACTTGCAGTAGCTCTGCTTCTTGGAAGTGATTTGCTTTTCTAGTTAACATTTTTTAAATACCAAATCCTTATCAGTGCAGTCAATAAATCATGAAATGCAGTGTTTTTGGCACTTTATTTCTGAACTGAATGTTAAACAGGGTTTTGACATTTGCTGTTTTGTGGAGGCTATTGTTTACAAGCCGACAAAACAAAGTGAACAAAACGCCTCCGATTTACAGTCAAGCCGGTGTGCATTTAACGTTAAGAAAACAGAGGAGGCTATAGGAGCGAAGCGCCCTTCCTATGCATAAATAATGTTTTAGGGTTCCGCGAACTGAAATATTTAGTGCACTCTGCATTACAGAAAGCTTATGTGATGAGTCCACACATGTTGATGATGAATTATTAACTCAGCGTGTGTCATCTCAGGTCAGACTCTGGGGATTTCTGTCCTTGTTTCACCTTTCCTTCTCACTCATTCTCTGTTGTCATAGTGATGGACATACTTTTACTTGGATACCTGAATTACTCAGCCGTAATGGTGCTTCTCTCTTGTTTTCAGCTGAGAATTAGTTTCCAGCCGCTGAACCAAGTGCACAAATGGAGTTTGGGTCACACTGATAAACAGGCCATAAAATGTGATGATATAAGAGAATGCACTGTTTACTGAAAGAAAAGCTTGACGCAGATGGTTCCTTCATGTGTGCTTTTCTTTCCCTGTAAAGCGTGGAAATTCAAAACCTTTAGTTGTTCAGCATGTGTGGGAATACTTCAGTGTGGTTAATGGAGATGTGCTCAAATTATCAGCGTTAAAGAAAATATTGCTTTTTTTCAGCAAGTAGGCATTAACTTGATCAAAACAGAGAGTAAAGACTTTTATAATATTACAAAAGATTTCTTTTTCAAATAAATTCTGTTCTTTTGAACCTTCTATTCATCAAATAATCCTGAGGAAATATGTCACGGTTTCCACAAAAATATGAAGTGTTTTGAAGTGACGAAAAACAAGAAATGTTTCTTGAGCAGAAAATCAGCATTTTAATGATTTCTGAAGGATCATGTGACACTGAAGACTGGAGTAATGATGCTGAAAATTCAGCTTTGCCATCACAGGAATAAATTGCATTTGAAAATATAGAATAAAAAGACTCTTATATAAAAGAGTAATTTTATATTGCAATGATACTTCCCAACATTACTATTTTAATTGGATTTTGATCAAATAAATGCATTCTTAGTGAGCATAAGAGACTTAAAAAATGTTAAAAAACACACCAATCCCTTTTTAACAATATAAATGTAGTTTATGCCATTTCTAATCAAGGTAATGTGTCCTCGCTGAAGAAAATGATTCATTTCTTTCAAAAAAAAAAAATCATAATGTCCCCAAAATTTTGAGTGGTAGTATATTTTGAAAATATAAAACATATTGGAGTCTTAAAAAATTCACGATTAATTCAGTGTGTTGCTTGCCATTTCTTTGTAATCATTTGTGTAAAAAAAAAAAAAAAAAATGACAAGCAATTTCAGAGTGCAAATTGTTTCAAAGTAAATCCTGCACCAATATTTTTTCATTATACTTGAAATGTGTGTGTGTGTTTGTGTGTGAATTTGTTGCAATTGTGTTCTATTGATATATGTCAAATCATTGGTATGTGTTTGAAGCAAGTGTTTATTTGGTTAGTTGTGAGTTAGCCAACTTGTGTTTGGGATGTGTGTGTATTTTTTTGTGGGCGTTGGTATAAAGTTGATGAGAGAGACCTTTCCCCCCTCGCCTCAGTCTCACTCTTCCACCTACAGTCGTGTTTTTTCAGGCTTCGCACCAGAAGTAAACACTTAGTCCCGGCTTTTGTTGTGCGTATATGTGTGTGTGTGTGTGTGTGTATGCATTTGGTTCTCGCTTCTCGTGGTGAATTAGGAAAGCCCTTCCTTCACATTAAACCTAAATGTGAAATCTCAGGACTTTTGATGTGCCCCTAAGGTTTTCTCATTCAAGCGGTTTTCAAAAGACATCCAATCCACAGGCCTGTGATCTCTAGTGTCAGGAAATTCTTCTAAAGGATTTTTTATTTTTAACCCCATGTCCTCCCCCTCTTCCCTTCTTAGAAACAAGGGCATCTATGAGTGGAAATATTCAACTTATAGCTGCTTTTCCTCTGTTCCCACCACAAAGCAGCATTATGCCATCATTGATAAGGCTGAAGAAAAGGGCTTTGATGAAGTCCAGAGGCTGACTATGGCTGTACAAAGCCAACCGTTTAGTCAAGTGATGCATTTAGCCACAGGAATCACACTTAACTAGCACTTCTATGTCAATAAGAGGCTAATGTTTATGCATTTGTACAAGATAATACTGAGTGAATACTGAGATTAAGTTTGGCCACGTTCACACAGCAGCAGAATACTGTATTTGAGTCCTTAATACGGTTACGTTCACACACAGTACGGTTATTTAAGGTCGTGACACCTTTTTCTCCTCTCTCACACACTTACATTCTCCGTTCGCATACATATGCTTCTACTTTCACACACATTTCTTCTTTCACATAGATATGTTTGCTTACATATATAAACACTTTACTTTTCAACACATACATGTATTCTGACTTTCAAGCACATATATTTACACATCCACACATATGCATTCTTTATTCTTACATACCTACATTCTAACTCACATATATACATTGTCACTTTCACACATGTATTCACACTTATATGCATGCATTTTTCTTTTCTTTTTCTTTTTTTGGTATCCATTACTTCCCCTTTAAGCAGGAAGTCACTCAAACCAGGAAATACATCTGCTAGACTTGCTCAGCTCATCCTATCACAACTATTATGCTATTCAAAGTCATCCTGTTTTCTTTTCAATTACCGTTTTTTTTTTTAAATTGAACTTTAATTTTTAATTTTAAAGAGTCATTCTGTAACCGACTTGTTCTACAGATCTCTGTACAAGTGTTATGATACTGATTTTGAAAGTACTGACAGGGCTCAACACTATGGAAAATTTGTACTGTTCAAATTTTTTACTTGCCCTGGCAAAAAATTCACTGGCCTTGACACACTCACAAAAAATAAGTAAAATAAAATAAAATATAAAAAATAAATAAATATGACTTATTATTTTTATTGTAATAAATGATAACCATTTAGCACAAATAGAGACTATAGTAAAAAGATAAAAATGAAATGAACCATGCTTTAAGTTTTTCAGGTAGGTTTAACTGTATTCCGAGGATGCACTGATCAGGATTTTTCATGACCGATTCCAATTGCTGATTTTTTTCACAATCGAATGGGCCGATTCCCATACTGGTTACCTATTTATTTATTATTATTTTTTAATTTATTAGTTGTTTATTTGCTCTGTTACTGGCCAAACTGGCCTTAACCCATTAAGGTCATTATCCCGGTCCCAGGAGAGGAATTGAGTCATCACGTGTGTTTTTTAAAATATTGCACGTGTTGGAGCACACAAACCCCGAACCCCGAGTTCTCTTGCACCTCTTCTCTCGTGCTCGAACAGTACATAAAAAAATTATGCCAAAATACAAGATATCTAGAAGTTTAAACCATTCAAGTGCAAGATGAAGCAAAAGAACTCAATTAAATTTCTATGCTCACAGCAATGCAATGCAATCATTTCCACACAAATGACATTATTACCAAATATCTGTAAACCGGATATACGGACGCAAAGAGCAGAGATGCGCAAACAGAGAAGGTGCTGTACCACTGTGCCCACACCCCCAATCACAACTCGCTCAAGGGACAAGGCCAAAGATGGCTTTTCACAATTATAATATTTTTAAAAAACCCAAATAGCTTGCTGAAACACTTCTGCGGCCGCTTCATCTACCTCAGCCATGCTGATGTAACACTGATCACGCTTAACCTGCCTTCCGTTTCCACTATACTCGCTCAGACATACATACATTCTTCTCTTACATACACATATTTTCTTTAGACTAACATGCATTTTCTTCTAATATAGATTTATTATTTATAACATTACATTTATACTTTGAATACATTTGCATAAGAGCAAAATGAATAAATGTGTGCTTAAAATATGAATGTAAGAGGTAAATGTAAGAATGCGTGTTACTATGAGTTTGTTACTATGAGAGCAAAAATGTATCTATGTGAAAGGAGAATATAAGTGTGTGAGAGCACCAGAATGAATTATGGCTTGTACGGCCCTTCATAGGACTGGACAACTAGTTGTCTGTCACATCATACAGTGTCGAGAGAGAGCCACTCTGCTGCACAAACGCGTGTCTACCGTGTGTTGTGTGTTTTCATGGTTTCGGGAACTTACAGAGACGGAGAAATGAGCTGTGTGTCATCTGAAAGTTTTAGATCCAGTCAGATTTTCTCCATCGGAGCCGCTCAGTTTTGTGTTTTGCGTGCGACGCAAATGCTCCGCTCTCCACCCAAATATAAAAGCTGCTGTCGGTTAATGAAAGTAGTCAATATGCTTCACCACCTGTCAACTTTTTTGATTGATGATGAACTTTGACCTTTTACACTGAGGGGTTTGACCCCTTGACCCCGGACCACCCAGGTTGCGTTCACCTTTGACCCTTTAATTTTCAGATGTCAATATGACAAATGGTTTTTGCATATTTGGAATTCCAACGTTGACCCGTGACCTTTTAATTCTCCAGCTGTCAAATAGGTCAATACGGTTTTAGTATATGTGGAATTCCGTCATTGACCCACATCCATAATAAGAGCTTTGTTCCATTTTGAACCTTGACATGTCACATTTGAAGCCACCAGGCTTATTGACCTTTCACATCCGGGGACATCTGTTGACCATATGAGGATATCCAGCCCTCATTCCATCTTATGGTCACTCTACGGTCATGTGAGAAAGATATTGGTTGGTTTTAAGGACAATATCAAAATAAGTGGAGGAATAAACAATTTTAACAGACCATAAGAGCTGATCACAATATGCATAAACACACACACACACACACACACACACACACACACAATTCAGGGCTCTACGCTTATTTATCTTTTTAGGAGCACTTATGCTCCTAACTTAAAAAATTTAGGAGCACAGTCAAAAATTTAGGAGCACCTTCTTATCAATAATCCAAAATTTGATGATAAATTCTTCCCATTACGAGGTGATATTTGACTCCTTAAAGTGATTTACAGTGGAATTTGGTTAAAGCAAGTGACAGTATTTATGATTGGGTAATCATGAATCACTGACTCACTAGATTCATTTAAAAATGCAGTTCATTCATAAACGAGACACCGCTGTGTTTGAATGGAGATGCGCAGCTGCTGAGCTGTGACTTTGTTTCAAACCATTTTCGACGACAAAATAGAGCAAAATCAGACAATAGTGTTATAGTCAGACAATGCAAGTCGCTTAATATTAACTTCTTGTTTATTGAACTGTTGTATTACTTAATATTAACTTTTTGTCTATTGAACTGTTGTATTAAAATACATTTTTTATACCTTTACTTATTTTGGCAATCGACCGATAACTTTTTCTTACATGACAAACACTTTGAGATTTTATATTTCAACTCATATTTCTTACGAGAGATTCATTGAGGAATAAGTATTTTGAACAATGGCCTCTTTGCCAGCCGTCCTCTATGAGGAAGCGTCACAGCATGCACACCCCGAGGGCGTCCTGGATGGGGACGCACAAAGAATAAGCTATTGTGCATTTTAAACCGAGCATAACATTAGGGGTTGCTTCCATATCACCCATATCTGACGCTTCTAAGCAGCCCCACACCCGTCATGTCGAATGACACACCGTTTTGACAGGGACTCATGCTGTGTGAAGAGCGCTCACACCATGGTTTTATATTTCAACTTATATTTCAAAGCTCTCATAAAAATGTAAGGTGAGATTGCGATGAGCTAAGATGAGTGACAGCTTTTAATGATTTTTAAGGGAGTTTGTAAATGTGATACTGATTTAACAAACCATAAGGGATATTGTGGACCCCGACATGCCCAGACACTTTCCATAGACAATGATTTTTATACTGTATATTCTATCCCCTGCCCTAAAACCTACCCATCACAGTAAACTTTCTGCATTTTTGTATTTTCAAAAACATCACTAATATAATTTTGCCATTTAAAAAAAAAAGCTGTTTTGCTCACGGGGACAAATTTTGCTCAGGTCAAACATTTGATGTATTAGTGCACAACAAGGGGGTACATGAACCACACACACACACACACACACACACACACACACACACACGTCAAATTGTCTTAATTTATGGGAGGCTTTCCATAGACATAATGATTTTATACAGTACAAATTAAAAATTTACATTTTTAATAAAACATTGTTTAGTATGTTTGTAAGTATTTTAATTATGATGACTCAAGAAATATTTGATCTATTTTAAAGAAGATGGTAATAAATAAAATATTTGATTATACATAAAACACTCAATATAAAAACAAACATGGCACTAAAAACAGCAAAACATTTACTACAGTTTTAGGTAACAATATATATGAAAAAAAAACATCTTACATTTTTCAGAGATCTAAAAAGTAGTTCCTTATGTAATGGTGGTTCATACCTTTAATGAAAGGTTTACAAAAAATGTATTTAGTTTAAGTTATATCATAAATAAAAACTTAAAGATACTTGCCTTGTCCATTGTGAAACTGATATGGGATGGGCGAGGGAGGAGATACAGACCAGATGTTAAGAAATAAATGTATAGCACATCCAAAACGTTCACTTAGAAAAAAGTGAATGTTTTGAATGTGCTACATTTATTTCAAAGTGTAATTTTGCTTTAAAGTTTAAATAAATATTGTCCCCTACTACTTCCATCCTATGGTAGAAATATTCTGACTGACCTGAAGTATAATTTGTATTAATCAGGTTTATTCCAGTTCTAAAACTTCAGATTGTTTAAAAGTTTCGATTCTTTAAAAGTTTCTTATTTCTACAAAGATTCAACCAGCGTTTTACCCTGGTCAATATGAGGTATGCTGACAAAAAATTGTCGCATTTAGGTGTGTTTTAAAATATAACTTAACTATACATATTGAACTATCCTCAAACAAGTCCAATCATCAGAAATACCTTCTGCTGATGGAGATACATTTTTAATAATAATTTTTTCCTGTGTCCCGCAGTAGAAAATATCTCCACTGTTAAAACCTAGTATACAATATGTATTAAAACTATAGAATTAATTAATGGTGTTAATACTTTTGTAAAATTTGAAGGGATCACATGTCTCATAGATTTATATGATTTTAGTTTTCTAACTTTTTCCCAAAATCAAATTTTGTACGTTTTGCATAACACGTTCCTTTTTTTTTCAAATCATAATCTTGCTTTAAAGTTTAAATAAAAGGTTATTAAATGTAGCTTCATACCCGTTATGTTCTGAGAACTTCATAAAAAAAAACGTATTTTAGGGTTGGTAATATTTTAGTCTTTTTTGCTCACCAAGGCTGCAATTATTTGATGAAAAATACAGTAAAAACAGTAATATTGTGAAAATTTCAATTGAATCTCTTTGAGTATATTTTAAAATATAGTTTATCCCTGTGTAGTAAATTAGTAAAGCTAATTTTTTAGCAGCCATTACCTTAGTGTTCATTGTCACATCATCAAGTTTTATAGAGTTTTTTTTTTCTAGCCATATCTACGCCATATCATCTATTTTTATGTCAAATACATGAATATAATCAATTCATTAACACAGAAATTCATTTATTTATAATTTTTTGGGCATTTCTATCATACTGACCCCAAACCTTTGAACAGTGTTGTGGATGGCTGGCTGGCTTGATGGATGGATGGATGGATGGATGAATTGATTGATTGATGGATGAGTGAACTGATTGATGGATAGATAGTTTTGTATGTGTATGTTAATCATCTGATGGTTTTCCTGTTTCTGTGGCAGATGAACTTTGTGAAAGAGCAGTTTGGAGACACTCAGAGGGAATGGGTGCTGCTTGTGTGTATCGGAGCGTCGTCTGGAGTCGGTCGACTGCTGTTTGGGAAGATCGGAGACCTCATACCTGGAGTAAAGAAAATCTACATGCAGGTACGGAAACCCACAGGAACTGCTTACTGCATGCCAGTGAATCATAATTCCATAGCTGGAGAAGTTTGTTTCTAGGGCTGCTACAAACGATTATTTTGATAATCGATTAATCTAACTATTATTACAACGATTAATCGACTAATCGTCAATTATTTCACTGATTAATCAGTAGTTTCTGCAACTTTCATGCAATGTCAATATAAACTGGCATAAAACGATGACAGGACGGTCCTGCTGCGGTGAAGTGTCTCGCTTAAGGTCACACCGGTGTTACATTACAGCAGCCCAATCAATGGCTTCAGTGTTTCTGAATTTCTTTAAAAGTGGAACAAAATTTGAATTAGTTTTTCTCTTTAATTCTAGATTTATTTTATATGATGTCAATATATAATTCTTTCCTGAAAAACAGCGTGCTGTTTCATTCTCTTTTGCAATTTGGTTGCCAGGAAACTTCAGTTGAACATCTGCATAAGTATCTTTTCCTTTAAAGGAAATATTTGTTTCTAGGATTTGATTTTCAATGGCATTTTAATGTTTAATGAGGGTGTTTTATTTTATATATAATTGTTTTTTTGAAAAAATAACTTCCACAACATCCAACAATACCAATAACAATAAAAATTGTTTGTTTGTATACTTGTTTAAAATATGACATAAATATCAACTTTGCAATTATGCACTTTCAAGAGCTTGTTCAACATAGTTTAATTTTCCGATTTAAACAGCATATTTCACAATCTACCTGTCATTACAAAATGTATAATACATTGCAGGCTTAATTTTGACCAAACAACTTTCATCCCTTGTTGGTAGTATTCAAGATCAGACAATACAGGTTATAATAAATGTCCTGTGTATCAAAAAAGCAGGACTCACTCTATGTATTCTTTTATTCCTCTTCTTAATTTACTTTTTAAAATTAGTTTAAATTTTTTTTTAATGAAATCTGCACCATATTATCCTTTTTTTTTTTTGGTCATTTTCTATGGTATTTTTCTGTAGTATCCCCTTAAATTCTAATCCTGTTACCAGTACCATTAAAAAAATTTTGTAAGTAATTTTCTGAGCATCAGGATATGGAATGCCTTTGTGGCTGTAAATCTGAGATGTCAAACTTCGGATGGAGCGCAGCATTAGTCCACATGCTTAGACGATCTCTGTGTGTCTGTATACGTGTAGGTGGCCTCGTTCATATTACTGGGTCTGATGTCCATGATGATACCTCAGTGCGCCGTGTTCGAAGGTCTGGTGGTGGTTTTCGTATTGATGGGTCTTTGTGACGGCTGTTTCATCACTATCATGGCCCCCATCGCCTTTGAGTTGGTAGGGCCCATGCAGGCGTCTCAAGCCATCGGCTACCTCCTCGGCCTCATGGCCATACCAATGACAGCGGGACCACCGATTGCAGGTGAGGAGCTTAAAAAAAAAAGAACATCTGTTAGAGTAAATACTTTGCATTAAAACATTTACATTTGCTTGCATTGGAATGACTAATTTTTATTGTATAGAACGTTGAGCTTTTCCTTTAAATGCAATTTTAACTTGTAAAAGTTATTTTATTTTATAATAACATATAGTATATATATATATATATAATAGACATGTATTTTATATGGATAATGCATATACATGTATATATAAAACTTATGTTATGCTTATCTAAGCTTATGCATGTAAGCTATGTTATATATAACTTGAGAAGTAAATCTTAAAATGTTCACACAAAAATGCACACACACACACACACACACACACACACACACACATATAGAATTTCAACTTGTAAAGCCATATTTTTTGTAAACGTTTTCTTTTAATTAATTTTTTTAACAAAAAAAATGTGTGCAAACACACACATTTGTACTTGTAGATAAATATGTTGAAAACATGATTTAATCAGCCAGCATGCTGATCTTGGCCACGTTCCCCATACAAGACTTGCACACACACAACAGACTAAGTGTTTTTCCAGTTTCTGGGCCTGGTGGACAGGAATGAGACTTATTTCGGAGGGTAAATTCCAAGGTCTCCCTGTGAGCACATTTAGTTTGGACTGTTGACTTAAATGCTCTTGTTCAATGACGGTCTCCATATGTTTCCAGTTCCGCAGCCTCGTTTTGAAGAATTAGACCCACCAGAACATCTGCTCCATCTGTACTCCAATAAATAGACCTTATACTTTCAGGTCTCAAGGTTCATTTACAGAATACTGACGTTACCTGTCTGGACTCTGGGTTGGTTTCAGGAACACCGAGTCCTCATTCGAGAACGTGATGCATCATTTGTAGGATCTATTTTCAAAGCGTTGCCTTCACAGCAGGGACATTACAACTAGGTTTGGATTGGCTGTCACATTCTGTTATTTCACATACTTGGAACCGCGATCTGACTTCTAAATGTTTAAGTTTCAAGTGATCTTATATCTTCTGTATAGGAGGCTGGGGAGCATCTCACCAAAGTCTTCAAAGTCTAAATAGCTCATAGTTGTTTTGCTTCAGATGTATTCCAGACTGCAAGCCTCATTGAGATTCCTTGAAATCGAGAGCATTTGAAGATGAATGTGGCCGTCATAGCAGGGAGTCTCGATTGAATTGCATTGGATTAGTTCCAGTCTTCAGTCTTTTTATTCAAAGTCAACATGAAATCAAAACTGACTCCCCAGTTATTCAA